AATTAAGCTTCCACAAAAGTACAAATGTGTTATTGCCAAAAGTTTGTGGCGCTCCAAGTCAGTGCCCACATCCGAGGCAAACAGTTGGATACAGAAACATCCCTCATTATTGGGTACTCTTATTTTAATTTATTTTAATTGCTCCATTCATGTTGCCTATATGATTCCCCCACTCCCATCTCAAAGTCAGCATGTGTGCACAAAAAGAAGCAACAGCCACAAGAGGGAGACTGCTGTTTAAAATGAAACAGATCCATCAGTATCATAAAAATGGTAAATATATATATATATATATTTCATGGCTGGGATTTAAACTCAGTCTCCTTGCTTTCTAGATTGATGCCTTAACCACTAGACCAAATTGGCAATATAACTGTGAAGTCTCTGTTAGAGTTTGAAACAAATGTATTCCTAGCCATAGAAATATATTATTATACAAAACACATTTCTGCTCCAAAAAAGTAGATCTTGCCATTAAATTACTTTTTTGTTTCCCATGAAATCCAGGCCCGAACGTATTATTTTCTCATCCAAATCTCCACAGAATTTAACGTGAAATAAAATTTAAAGTTAAAATAACTGAAGGAGGAAGTGAAATTGGTTGATTGATGTTTTTTAGGATCCCAGCAGTTCAGCCAATGACAGCAAACGTCTCCTTTGTGATTATTTTAAGAGGTCAACCAATCAGAACCAAAAGGTTAATTTCTTAACAAACTGCACTGTAAATCAAGGTACGTTCTGGAAAGATTTAATGTTTTAAGCCATGTAGATAGGTATGAATAGAATAGAATAGAATAGAATAGAATAGAATAGAATAGAATAGAATAATAGAGTTGAAAGGGACTTTGGAGGTCTTCTAGTCCAGTGATGGCTAACCTTTTTGCCGTCGCGTGCCAAAAGTGTGGGAGACCGCAGGAGGGTCGCGTGCGTGTATGCCCACACCCATAATTCAATGCGCCCCGCCCCCGTGCATGCATGCGTGACCCCATGCTCCCCCTGCTTTTGGCATGTGATGGCCCGGTGGGCCCAATAGGCCTGCTTTTTGCCCTCCCCAGGCTCCAGAGGCTTTCTAGGAGCCCGGGGAGGGCTAAAACAGCCTTCCTCACACACACACCCCGGAGGCTCTCTGGAGGCTGGAAATGGTCCATTTCCCGACTTCCGGTGGGCCCAAAAATCAGCTGGCTGGCACACGCATGTATGCTGGAGCTGAGCTGGGGCAATGCTCGCATGCCCACAGATATGGCTCCGTGTGCCACCTGTAGCACGCATGCCATAGGTTCACCATCCCGGTCCTAGTCCAACCCCCTGCTCAGGCAGGAAACCCTACACCACTTCAGACAAATGGTTATCCAATCTCTTCTTATAAACTTCCAGTGTTGTAGCATCCACAATTTATGGAGGCAAGTTGTTCCCCTGCACTTACCTGCATCTAAAAGGGGCTGCGTGGGGACTCCTGGGGGAGAGGGGCAGGGGGGAGGGGCCAGCCAGGAGTGGGATTTGGGGGTTTTCCAAACTGCACAGAATCTTAGCTAGAGGTTCTCCCAAACCCCCAGCAGCCCACCCCTGCCACTATCGCTCAGAATCGCTTAATTCGTGAAAACGCAGCGGCACCGAGAAAGGGCCTTTCCCGCTCTCTGCAAAAATGGGATGGGAGGCGTGTTTAATTAAAAACCAATCGTAATTGTCAAGATTAATGAATAAATGGGACGCCCTGCTCTGCCAGCTGCCGCAGAGGATGGAATTAAAATTTAATCTCCCGCTGAATTATTGAAGCAAATGGAATGCTGATCTCATAACTGGTACAATTGCGAAGCTCAGCGGGCGATGGCCTGCAGACGTTGGGACAATGTTGCATTATTATAAAGTCCCAAGGCATTGTTCCTTATTCCTCCATTCTGGGGGGTTTTTGCTCTTCATGTATTTGGAGAGATTTCGAATTTGGGTATCCCAGGAGCGCTGCCGCTGCTGCTTAATGCAGATTAGTTTGTTTATGCTAAAATCCTCAAGGCGAGCTCCATTCAATCAGACAAGAGAAGGTAGACAACATAGACAATTTATTTAACCAATGCTTCAGACTGCCAAAGTTTTCACTTCTATCTAGCCTCCAAGGCCCTTGGAGGAGAGAGAATTCACAAGTTGAGTTGTAAGAACCTAAAAACTATTATAAACTTTTTTTTTTGTTTAAAAAAATAACCATCAGTGGAACAACTTCCCTCCAAAAGTTGTGGATGCTTCAACATTAGAGGTTTCTACGAGATTGGACTACTGAAATGGATGGTATAGGGTTTCCTGCTTGAGCAGGGGGTTGGACTAGACAACCTCCAAGGTCCCTTCCAAATCTGTTATAGCAATAGCAGTTAGACTTATATACCGCTTCATAGCCCTCTCTAAGCGGTTTTACAGAGTCAACCTTGAGCAAGTTGGTCAGCATCGAACTGCTGGCAGTGGGCAGAATTAGCCTGCAATACTGCATACTAACCACTGGGAGGGAGGGAGGGAGGGAGGGAGGAAGGAAGGATTCATTTTACCCACTGTTTACTGAATCAGCCTCTTGCCCCTAACAATCTGGGTCCTCATTTTACCGACCTCGGAAGGATGGAAGCCGAGTCAACCTTGAGCCTGGTGAGATTTGATCTGCCAAACTGCTGGCGGCCGGCGATCAGCAGAAGTATTTGCATATTAAAAGCAAGTGGGCAGACAAATGGTTCAAAACATTTAACCTTTCAAGGACTTACCTTGATTTACAATATTTATTGTCTGGAAAATATTGGTCTTATCAAACATTTATAGGACGGCGTACACACATTCAAAGTACTGCAAACTAGGGCCTTGGTAGTCTGCCATAAATACCCATGTCCACGATTCTGAAACAATTGCATTTGTTTGTACACCAAGACATCATTGTGTAACTTGGGCTCAGTTATGACTGAACTCAAGATATGCTATGAGGGTTTGTCCAGTGATTCATATTGTAATTAATTCATGTGATTTCAGTTAAGAAGGAACGATATAGAAGTATAACCGGTATAATCTCCTCCTTCTTGTTGTTCTATATCCGTCATCGGATGTTGGCGATCATGTTGGCCATCCTATTTTTATCAACAGCCACGCGAAAAAGTGCTGTTGAATTTTCTCCAAACCGGTCCCTTAAGATTTTGAAGCCATGATGTTTTTCTTCTGCCTGGACCACATTTGCCTTCAATGTGTTGTGGTCCGCCAGCAGCCTACGGAGTTGGCAGCTGAGTCGGACAGTGAGGAGGCTGGAGAGGAACATGGGCCAGTCCTGGAGTCTGGGGAAGGATGAGGGCTCTGCGTCAGAGGCAGAGATGGGGCCAGGGCCATCTGGGAGTTATGCGTGGAATCCAGAGCCCCCAGCCCCCTCTCTGCCTCCGACGCAGAGCCCTCGTTAGAGCCTTCCCCTGACTCCAGGACTGGCCCATGTTCCTCTCCAATCTCCTCACTGTCTGAGTCTGCCACCAGCTCCGCCGGCGGGCCACAACACTATGTGTATAATAAATACATGTGGACATTTTTAAGCCCTCTGTTGTCTCTTAAGAGTTTTCTGCAAACCACAGTTAAGCTGGAACAGCCCATCACTTTGAAGGATGGACTTGAACAGAGGAATGTCAGAGCAGGTTATGATGAGAGTTAGAAGCCATCTAAGGCTTGGTCTTGTGCAGTGCGTTGTCCATGAGGATTGGGAGAAACTGGAGATATTTTCCAACTCATCCTCTCATTACTGGGGGGGGGGGTGTCTCAGAGGAAGCACCCAGGCCCTTCCTAACTGTCCCTGTATCCCTGCAGCCTAATAAAAGAAGGAAGCTACGATCGGCCAGGCTCCCCAGTGGTAATGGGAGGCGGGAAAGCAAGGTCCTCATGCATTATTCATTCTGCCTTCTAGCAAAGCCTCTCTTTTAAAAATACAAATTGAAATGGACACGCCTCACCCAGGAAGGAGATGCGGTGAGCAGATTTGGAAAACCGACTCCTTTCTCCTTCCTCTAACCTTGGTTTCCTGAAAAGAGGTTGAGAAAAAAAGGATTCGGGGAAGGGACCAGGCTTTCATCTGCGGCCAAACATTGAGAGGAAATCAAAGGTATTGGGTTTTCGTCCCTGCTCTTCCCAGCCTCAGGGTATCAATGGCTTGCAAGGATGCACTTGACTGGGACTTAGACTCCTCCGAGTTGGGTGTACGTTACATTTGCAACTCCGAAGAAAAGTTCTCCCCCCAAAGAAACAAAAAACCTTTAAAGTACAATATTGTACTTTATTGTACTTTAAAGTACAATAAGATCGAAAAAGATGTTTTGAACAGGCATCACGGCAGATTCGATATCGAGTCAACGTCTGTGGAGATTCTCAGTCATCCAAGTCTTCGTTGTCTCAAAGGTGCTTTTTCAAAACTTCTTCAAGGACAAAAACTGGAGATGTTTCGCTTCTCATCCAAGGAGCTTCATCCGTTCAGAACCCGATGAAGCTTCTTGGATGAGAAGCGAAATGTCTTCTTTTTCTTCCTCAAGGGGAAAAAAAAACCACAGTCCAGTTGCCTTTTGAAAAAGCACCTTTGAGGTATCAAGTCAAATATGGCAAATCTCTACTCGCACTTTCATAAGCGCTTATGCCCAGAATGAGAGGTCTGCTTTCCAGCTGTGGTTAATAAAAAGCCCTATAATCCCACTGTCATATTTCATTTGTATCTTTTCCTTTTTTTCCCCCCGATGCTTAAAAAAATCCAATCACCATAGAAGAATTAGATAGTGGTGCGCAGGCCATTGTGTGCAGATATATGGAGAACAGGGCCTTTTATATAAGTCAGAATCAGCAAAATATTTAAACAGCTTTCAGAAGCAGTAACGTTTCAACCGGAAGGATCAATCTATACAGTCTTTCATGCAAGCTCCAGGAGATAAACGCGACCGATTCTGAATTAAAAGGCAGCACCAGAGAATTTTAAATTAAAAAACGTGCAGCAGAAAACAATGGCATTTGATAAAGGACTGTTCTGAGCTTCCAACACATTCCTTTAATAAATTAAAATGACTAAGACATTCAACCATTTTCCTCAGGCCTGAAACTATACACAGTACATTTACAGTATTTATAAATAAATTATCACTATTATTATAAGCACGTAATTTTACATACAATACTAACTGCCCTTGGAGGGGACAAATATTTTCAATTGTTTCTGGTAACTAATTTCTCAAAGGAAGCTAGGACAACTGATGAGCTGCCGAACATGGCCAAAAGTCCATCGTTAAAACAAACTAATTTTGCTCCTGTAGCAAAGTAGCAGCTACTGCCCGGCCTCAAGTAATCTCAGAAAAAGCGAATTACAGTCGGTCTTGATAGAACTCTCATGGGAGACCACCAGGAAAAAATAAATAAAAATGTAATTTGACAACTCTTTCTTTAAAACATGGTTGGATCATAATTTTCTCTTGATTCGATCTAAGCATTAAATAGATATGTATCTCAGATTCTCTGCTATGAGTGCTTTCTGAATGAAAAGCAGATTAAGCCCTAAGGGGGGGGAAAGTTCAAATATCTATGGAAAAATGTAAATATTTAGAGCCAGGATTATTCTAGATGCCAGGAAAAACAAACATGGTTAACAGCCCCCCCCCCGCAACAATATAAAAATTATGAGTCCCTCCATCCAACAGGGCACAATTCATCCTTAAAAAGAAACAATTCCATCCATCTATAAGATCTTTCTGAAAATCCTTTGGTCCAGAACTCTTTTAACACCTTGGGCATCATGGCCACAATAAAGGTTTTTGAGGTGACTTTGACTGAAGCCTATGTACTATCATCACCAGAAAGGCAGTGACAGTACATAAATTCTGAGTGAATTAAGCCCCCCCTTGTCAAAACTAGGCCTGGTGTAAACAACCAGGGTGTGCAAATGAGATTATCGTTATTTGCAACCTATTTGCTCTCAAATAGTTCTCTTAAATAAAGAAATTGATCAAGGAAGGCATCCAATTTAGCATCTCTCATTTCGGCTCATTGTAATCTAGAGTTATAGCTCAAATACTGGTCCCTAAGAAAAGGATGTAATCCTGTTTTAATCATCAACAGTATATTTGAAAAAAGTAACAGCCACAATTTTAAAAACATCCAATTCCCTCAGGGATGGTGTGGATTTTTCCGTCAAAATGAAGCTGTCTTCTTCCGCAATTAAGCCGCCTCTTAAAAATAGCTGATCTTCCCCAGCCATCCAATAGGCCACAATGATAGCTCCAGCATCCGATCATGTGAATCACCCTGAAATGTTGTTCTTAGATTAAAACATCCCCATTTTGAGTAAAGGGAAAGGTGATTCAAAGAGCAGACGATAGCAATCGGGAAGTGGAAGATGTTGTAATAACGGACATTCGAGAAATTATCCAAGTGAAACAGAAGCGTCAAGTCAAGGATATTCCATTTTAAAAAAAATGTCAGCATGTGAATCTCCGACAGAAGTTGCCACTTCAGTTCAGAAATGACAATGATTGGCAGCACCTTAATTTGTAATTCCATTGGGGTTCATGTTTTAATTGCTCTCCTGATATGGGACTCTTTTAACCCATCAACAGCCTTAGGGGGGGAAAAAGTCTACATCCTTTTGAAGTAAGGGATAGGGGAGAAACGGTCACCAGTACTGGCATTTGCCCAAAATGTACATTTACTGTCATGGAGAATGGCTGTGTCACTTAACACAGTTGTTTTGGAACACTGTTTTTTAAACGTTTCACATCCCACAGAGTGACGTCCCCTTTATGAATGTATAATTTAGGGTCCTAAGTTTCGGAGAAACGCAGAAGGCTCCGTGTTCTTCCGTCAAATGAAAATAGGATTACTCTGAAAGTTTAAAAACGATGAAGTACGATTAGGCATTCTGGGTGAAAGTTCTGACACCTGTCCGTCCCTTGCAACAGTTCGGCTTCCCTTCCTCCCTTCCAGTCCATGGGTTTCAGGGTATGCCGTCTTTCCTCTGGCAGCACTGGGAAGGAGGCACGTTCCAGTCATACACGTACGAGAGTCGGAGTTTCACTTCCTCCTTGCAAAGCTTTCCTTCTTTAGCCAGAGTCTGATGCTTCTCCAGCATGTCTTCCAGGCTCTGCTTGTGCGTCACCACGTACTTATTGTTGCAACCACGTGATTTGTACTCGGTGTCAAAGCGAGGGTCGTGAATCCTCTTGACATCCACGGGAGCCAGCCAGGCCCCCAAGGAGACGTCCTCGCTCTGCCAAAGGTTGAGATAGTCTTGGCTCAGGCGCAGGTAGCGCACCAGGTCGGACGAGATGACGTAGCCACCGCCCAGGGCATAAGGCAGGTAGTAGTCACACAGGAGCCAGGCGTTTTCTTTCCACTTGCCGCCCGACTTCACGCGCCCACGGCCCGAGAAGAAGCCCCAGTAGAGGCGGCGTGGCTCCTTGGACCGCAGCTCTTCCGCCAGGACGTCCAGGCGGACGAAGGTGTCGTCGTCGGCCTTCAGGACGAAGCGGAAGTCCAGGTGCTGGTCCAGCCAGACGTACATGGCTAAGACTTTGGCCGTCAGGTTCTCGTAGGAATCCCGCAGGTCGGGGAGGAGGAGGAGGTCGTGGTGGCGGCTCTGCTCCAACTCCAGGCTGTGCAGCTCCTCTCCGGTCAGCCCGCCGGTGCCCACAACGAACCGGCACCACAGGTCGCTGCGGGGCACCCGCCCAGCCACCGAGAGCCAGGTGCTTCGGATGATGCTCCGCCGCTCGGTGTACTTGGGGCCGCTGACCACCAGCACAGCCAGGAAGGTGGCTTCCTCCGGAGGGGGCGGAGGGGCTGCCGCAGGGGGGTGAGGGCCACCCAGAGGCCCTCCCCGGGCAGGGGGCTGCTGCTGGTGGGGCAGCCCCCACCCCGGGGAGGACTTGAGGCCCTCCGAGGTGCACTTGGCCAGGTAGAGCAGCACCATCCCAAAGAGGGACAGCCCTGCCAGCAGGGTCTTGTGGCGACAGAGCAGGCGCACCAGCTTCATGGTCCCCCCTCAGCGCCCTCTAGCGGGCGGGACGAACGGCCACGGCTCTTTTTCCAGCCTCGGGGGAGGTGCTAAAAATGGCTCCTCCCTCCAACTCTTCAAGGCTCGGCCCCGCCTCTCCGCGGGAAAAGATCCAATCCCTCGGCGACCGGTCGCCCAACGGGGTGCCGATTGGTTAAAGAGGCGAGTTCCCGCCCACCGTTGCTGCGGGGCGGGGCGTGGGTTTGGCCACTCCCCTCTCGGCCAGGCCCAACTCTTCTTTTAGCGGTGACTAGTCCCCCCCCCCTTTCCCCCCCCCCCCCCTGCCGGTTTTCCCCCGGGTTTTGGCGGGAATATTTTCTCTCCTCCCCCCCACGGCTACGGACGGCGGGTTGGGACACACCTCCTCGGTCCGCGTTCGGAGATGTCGCCGGATGCCTGCTGGGTCTCCTCCAGCGGAAGGTTCATTGTCTTCTCCTGCTTCGGGTTCAAGGAGCCCCGGCGAAGCGGGGTTTTTTTTTTTTTCCTCGCCCGCGGCGCATGCGCGCTCGGGTTTCCTGACGCCAGGGGGCCCGCGAGACCGTTCTTGGAAAGGCCCGGCCGCTTCTTTGAGGCGGAGAGAAAAACGCGAAAGAGCGACGGAGGTGGGGGCCGAGCGCGCTATAGCAACCACGTGACCGCTTTTTTTTCCCCCTCGTTCCCCTGCGACGCCTCCTCCCGCCATCCCGTCTCAGGGCAAGTGAGGCTGACGTCCGGCGCCATCTTTGAGGGCAGGCTGCGCCGCCATGATGAATTAGGGCAACATAGAAAGGTCTTGGGCGGGGGCGGGGATTTCTTCTGAGACGCAGTTCATTCCTGCCAGTAAGGCTACTGGAGCTGTGCCCGAAACAAAGATGGCTGCCTCGGGTTCGCTTGTCGCAAAAGGACCGCTTTCCAACAGCGAAGCTCCGCCCACCCCCCCATTCGCCTTCAAGCATCGAGGTGTCTAACTGAGCGCCTCCTCGTTTCGTAAATATCAATTAAAAAGATAAAACCTTTCGTATTTTTTACGTGTATTTTATTTTTATTTCATATTTTATTTAGTAAGTGGGAGGGGGGGAAATAAAACCGAATCCTGCTGGGAGTCGGTTCCTCGGGACGGGCGGGCGATTGACAGGCTCAATCACTTGGGGGGGGGGCGGAAGAGGCGGGGCTTCGCCGGTCCTCCCAGCCCGGAGTGAAGTTTCCGGCTTCCGGTCTGAAGGGGAAGAAAGGCCGCCGCTGCCCCCGTCGCTGAGTCGGGCATGAGGAAGCTGGGCGGCCGACCGGGAAGGTCAGACCCTTGGATGGGAAGACGGGGGAGGAAAGGCCGCCTCTGAGCACGTGCAGAGTGCCTAAGCCCCCGAAGAGAGCGCTTTCCTTGGTGTTTCGGGCGACGGTTCCTCTGGGCATGTGCAGAGTGCCGCCCTTTGAATGTCCCTTTTCACCTCGGGGAGGTCCCCGGGGGGCTTTTCTGCCGGGGGGATCGAGCAAGCCGGATCCACCCGAGGATACTGGATCACATCTGGGGAGCCAGGTTGGATCCTTTGGGCCAGGGCGGGAAGTCCTCGACTTAACGACCGCCGCCCAGCCCTTGCCTTTAATCTCCCCGAGTGTGTTTTGCCCCGTTTTACGACCTTTTCTTGCCCACCGTTGCTAAGTGAACCGCTGCAGTTCAGTTCAGTTAGTAACAAGGTCGTTAAGTGAATCTGGCTCCCCCCCCTCCCCAATTCACTGTGTTTGTCAGGACGCTAAAAGGGGATCGTGTGTGACGCCGCGACCGTCATAAATAGGAAACGGCGGCCAAGCATCTGAATGTTGACCGCGTGACCGCGCCGCAGCGGTCCTAAGTGTGAAAAAAGGGTCCTAAATCGCTTTTTTTTCAGTGCCGTTGTAACTTCGGTCACTCAATGGAACCGTTGTAAGCCGAGGACTGCCTCCTCTGAGAACATGCAGACTGATTTTCGCTTCGGTGGAACTGAGGAGCAGCTTCTACTCTTTTAATCAAAAAGAGGAAGGATCTTTCTTCCTAAAAGTTATCTGAATATAGAGGGATTTTCCATAAAGACAAATTCCTTGTGTGTCCAATCACACTCGGCCAATAAAGAATTCTATTCTATTCCTTCCTTCCTTTCTTCCTTCCATCCCTTCCTTCCTTCCTTCCCTCCCTCCCTCCTTCCTTCTCCTCCCACTTATGACTGTATGACTGTAACTTTGTTGCTGGTATCCTTAAGATTTATATTGACTGTTTCCCTATGACTATCATTAAGTGTTGTCCCTTATGATTCTTGACGAACATATTTTTTCTTTTATGTACACCGAGAGCGTATGCACCAAAGACAAATTCCTTATGTGTCCAATCAACACTTGGCGAATAAAGAATTCTATTCTAATGCTAATGGTGTGACCCATTGCCACCTCCAGGTTATCCAGACACCATACTGACCCTTCGTCCTGCTTGACCTCCTGAAGGACAGGAGCCATGGTTTCCAAACGCGTCTTCATCTGCAGCCTGGGCTCCATCTATTTATCCCTCCTCTTCGTCTTTTTGCTCATGGACGTTTACGCTCGGCCCGCCAACAGCTCCATCCTCAAAGAGAAAGCGGCCGTCGACAAAGACGAAAACGAGATCCTCCCTCCGGACCACCTGAACGGGGTCAAGATGGAGCTGGACGGACATCTCAACAAAGAGTTCCACCAGGAGGTTTTCCTGGGGAAAGAGATGGAGGAGTTTGAGGAAGATTCGGAACCGCGGAGAAACCGGAAGAAACTGGTGGTGATTTTCTCAAAGTGAGCCCCGTCTGGCTTTAACTTGAAAATTTGCTGCTGTTCTCCTAAAATAGAGGGAAGGAGGGAATATAGCCGTGATGGCAAACCTATGGCACAGGTGGCACATGGAGCCATATCGGTGGGCATGTGAGCATTGCCCTAGTTCACCTCTGATTTCGGGCCTTCCGGGCCCACCAAAAGTTGGGGAACAGGCTGTTTCCAGCCTCTGAAGGGCCTGGGGGGGGGGGTTGGGAAGGCCATTTTTCCCTCCCCAGGCTCCTAGAAAGGCTCTGGAGCCTGGGGAGAGCGAAAAATGGGCCTTCTGGTCCCACCGGAAGTCGATAAACGGGCCGTTTCTGGCCTCTGGAGGACCTCCGGGGGTTAGGGAAGGCTGTTTTTGCCCTCCCCAGATTCCAAGAAATCGTCTGGAGCCTGGGGAGGGTGAAAAACGGGCCTACCGGGCCCACTGTGCCATCATGTGCCAAAAGTGGGAGCGCAGGGTTGTTGCGTGCAGGGGGGCAGAGCGCACTGAATTATGGGTGTGGGCAAGCACGGGTGTGACCTCCCGCACTGCTGCTTTTGGCACACGACGGCAAAAAGATTAGCCATCCCTGGAATATAGGAAGGCCAGCATTGGTATGTGCGGGAGAAAACTTGATTATGGCTTCCCTCCATATTTTAGAGCTATGATCGTTCTAAGAATTTTAGACAGTTCTCTGTTGTGGCCCACTGGCGGCCAGCAGAGCTGGCAGCAGAGTCGGAAAGTGAAGATATTGAGGAGGAACATGGGCCAGTCCTGGGGGCTGGGGAAAGCTCAGACCACGATGGGGGAAGGGGGCACGATTTTGGCCTCCCCGGCCTCCGCAGGCTTTTCTCAATCCTCCAGGAGGGCGAAAACTGCCTCCTCAGGCTCTGAAGGCCTTCTGGAGGCTGGAAACGGGCCCGTTTCTGGTCTTCCCGAACTTCCGGTAGGCTCATTTTTCGCCCTCCCCGAGCCTCCATGCGCGCCCTGCACTTACCTGCATCCAAAATGGGCTGTGTGGGGACTCCTGGGAGGGGCGGGGTGGGAGGGGCGGGGCCAGCCAGGAGTGGGATTTGGGGGTTCTCTGAACTGCACAGAATCTTAGCTAGAGGTCCTCCTGAACCCCTGCGAAACCCCCAGCGGCCCACCCCTGGTTGAGACTCTACGGTGGCCTTCCTTCCTCCATCCTTGGATCACCTGAGCTTGTAGGCTGGTTGTTTGTTGGTTGAGCAAAGAGGGAGGATTTTTCCCCTTTCGTCGGACACTGGGGATTGGGAATCCTCTAACGCGGCGCTTTTCTTTCCCGCCGGACTTTGCAGGGTTGACATCAACCGCGACAAGAAAATCAGCGCCAAGGAGATGCAGCGCTGGATCATGGAGAAGACCGAGGAGCACTTCCAAGAGGCCGTGGAAGAAAACAAGATGCATTTCCGGGCCCGTGGCCCCTGACGGCGATGGTAAGAGAAGGGGGGGAGGCAGCAAGGGGGGGCAGCCTTGGCCTTAGTCGGATGACAACCACGGGGGAGAAGAATCTGCCTAAAGTTACGATCGGCTGCGTGAAGATTGCTGAGGCTTCTTTCCTTTCCTTTCAGGCCACGTGTCCTGGGATGAATATAAAATCAAGTTTCTGGCAAGCAAAGGCATGAACGAGAAGGAGGTGGCGGAAAAGATTAAGAACAACGAAGAGCTGAAGATCGACGAAGAGAGTGAGTGTCTTTCTTTCCCTGAACCTGGAAGCCCAGGCTGGGGATCTTCCCTGTGAAATTTTTTTTTTTTAAAAAAAATTACAATCACAATTTTCTCCTGGTTTTCCAAGGAAGGTTTCCTAATTCTCGCTTGGCGCAGTGTACCGAGTCGCGCACGTCCCTCCCCTCCCTTCACCACAGCCACTATATCGCTGCTATTATTTTAACCTTGGTATTAGTTTAATGTAGGTCACACAGCTGGAATAAAGGAAGCTTTTGTGTGTCTTTCCTCGAGATAGATAGATAGATAGATAGATAGATAGATAGATAGATAGATAGAATTCTTTATTGGCCAAGTGTGATTGGACACACAAGGAATTTGTCTTTGGTGCATATGCTCTCAGCGTACATAAAAGAAAAGATACGTTCATCAAGAATCATAAGGTACAACACTTAATGATAGTCATAGGGTACAAATAAGCAATTGGGAAACAATATCAATCATTGTGCGTTGTGTTCAAAGCCCTCCTCACTTCTCAGGGGTTTAGAGACACTCTTCCACTGCTTTTCCTGACTTTGCCGACGCAACAAGCCGCGTTCAACAGAACCGTGGTTCTTTCGAATGGGTTCTGAAGAGGAAACAAACCCCACAGGAGCCACTAGCAGAGGTGGTTTCCAAAACTCCCGGCCTCACAAATTCTGAAATCTCTTTTAAAAGTCACTTGTGGTGGTGAAACAAAAAACAACAATAACAAGCTGTATCTTCATTGGCCAAAATCTCCAACCGAGTTCTCTTCTTGTCAGTTGTAACCAGGAGGGTAAAAAGACATTTGTGCCTTTTAACTTCGGCATTTCCCGTTTTTGAAAAACCTCTTTTTTTGAATCTTCTCTACCCCCACAGCCCAGGAAGTCCTCGATAATTTGAAAGATCGCTGGTATCAAGCCGACAACCCTCCGGCCGATCTGTTGTTGAACGAGGAAGAATTTTTGTCTTTCCTTCATCCGGAGCACAGCAGGGGAATGCTGAAATTTATGGTCAAGGAAATCGTCCGGGATTTGGGTACGTTCTTCAAAACTCCGATCGTCCCGGCAGATAAGATGGCACAGTGGCTGGGTATCCTTTGATGGTCACCCGGGCTGGAGTTGGGAGGGGGTGAATGAATGCCGGCTGGGGAATTCTGGGAGTTGAAGTCCCAACATCTGGTTTGAAAAACACTTTTTTTGAGTTCAGATGTTCCCACCAGGGGTTGGCTGTAGGAACTGAGCTGGCCTGATGCTTCTCAGCCCAACTCTGAATGGCTGGGATTTTGGTGCCCAGGACGGCGTGCTCTGAACTCACATTTGATTGCGAAGACTTGCAGTCTAAAACCTGAGATTCGTGCCGGGAGTAAAAAAAAAAATTAGACCTTTATCCAATTGAAAGGGGAGACAAGCTTGTTTCACTCCAGCTGTGAAACCTCAATATTGATTCCTGTTATATTTTATTGGAATTACCCCTTTAAAATATATTTTATAGATACGCATAATACACACAGACACACACATACTTATATATTATACACACGAACACACACATATACACGCACGCACATGCATATAAAGTGTTTTTCTGTCAAAGCACCTGGTCTACCCTAGCATATGGGAGGGAGCATCCTGCATCCCTTTCGCCTTTCAGCTGCAATCCAGGAGCCCTCAAGCAGTCGCATTCACAACAAACCATTTTATACCAAATTTATATTTTGCTGATAAAGAAATAAAGGGAGACTAGTATAGATCTATTTCAAGCTATTTAGCTCTCATCAGCTAGACATACCCTTACTCGGATTCGAACTTGGGCTGCCTGCATGTTAGGCAGTTGTCGTGAATGTGACTGCTTGAGGGCTCCTGGATTGGAGCTGAAAGGTGAAAGGGATGCAGGATGCTCCCTCCCATATGCTGGGGTAGACCAGGTGTCTCCATAGAAAAACACTTAATCTCTTCTCCTGGCTCAAGCTAATGAAGGGAGGAGAACTTGTGGCTCAGAGATTAATACAACTGCCTAACATGCAGGCAGCCCAAGTTCGAATCCGAGTAAGGGTCTGGCTAGCTGATGAGAACTAAATAGCTTGAAATAGATCTATACTAGTCTCCCTTAAATGCTTGCCGAGTGCCCAGATTTTGATCACATGACCCTTGGGATGCTGTAATGGTCATAATTGCAAGGACCTTTAAGTCACTTTTTTCAGCCCTGTTGTAACAGTCACTAAATGAAGGTTCATTAAGTCGAGAACTACAGAAACGCCTCGACTTACGACCACAATTGACACCCCAACATTTATGTTGCCAAGTGAGTTTGCCCCCATTTTACGACTATTTTCACCACACCTGTTCAGTGAATCACTGCAGTTGTTCAATTAGATTGTGCATGCCGGAAGGTTGCAAAAAAGGAGTCGCATGATCCCAGGGACGATGCAACCATCGTAAATACGAACCAGTTGTCGAAGCATCTGAATGACAATGACCCTGGAGGGGATGCTGCATTGGTCATAAGCGTGAAAAACTGGTCCCAAGTCATTTTTTTCCCCCAGTGCCGTTGTAACTTTGAACGGACACTAAACGAACCGTCGCAAGTCAAGGACGACCTGTGCTTGTAACGCCAAGCCGACGCAGCTGGGCTAGAAGACGTGCCCCCGGCGGAGGCAAAAAGTAGAATCGAGAAGATTTCAATCTTTTCCACGTGCGGCTTGTTTGATTTGATTTATCTCTCTCTCAATCATCCCGCCATGTCTCTCCCCCTCTCAGATCAGGACGGCGATAAGAAGCTGACCCTTTCGGAGTTCATTTCCTTGCCGGTTGGCACAGTTGAAAACCAACAAGCCCAGGATGTGGATGACGACTGGGTGAAAGACCGAAAGAAAGAGTTCGAAGACGTCATCGACGCCAACCATGATGGCATCGTTACCATGGAAGAGCTGGAGGTAACCAAATCGTGGCTTAATTTCTTAATTCTCCCTGCCCCAAATTACATGCATTTCCCACACCTCCACGCCCGCTGCGGTGTAGTGTCGTAAGTACCAGGCCAGTAGTTCTTGAAACAAGCTGATGCCTGCTAGATCGAGCTGGCAATTCTCTCGAAACGGTCCAAACTTTGAAGAAAGAAAGGGGGGGGGGGAAAACCCCAAACCCAGACTGCATTACTGTTTAAATTTCCCCCCCCTCCCACGCTCAGCTTTTTTAAGGGCAGGTGAGCCAAACGGATGTGTGGGCACAGCATTCTTCTGTGAAGTTGGTTTGCAGTTTCAGCTTTTTCTGACTTCCAAGTTATCAAAAGGAAGAGCGGGCGAGACAGCTTTCCACTTTCTCACGGAATCTATCTATCTATCTCATCTATCTCTATCTATCTATCTATCTATCTATCTATCTATCTCTATCTATCTATCTATCTATCTATCTATCTATCTATCTATCTATCTATCTAATCTCGTTAGCAGCGTTCTATCCCAGAATTAATCCCCCTTCTCATCCTTCACCAAGGAATTAGGGTGCTAATGTTTTCACGTGCCTTCCTGTTGGAGGAGCAGCTTTTCCCTTCTCCTGCATTTAATTGCATCTGTTCAGTTGCTCCTTTTTCACTTGAATCCTCCTTCCCCCTTCTTCTTCTTCTTCTTCTTCTTCTTCTTCTTCTTCTTCTTCTTCTCTCTTCCTCTTCCTCTTCCTCTTCCTCTCCTCCTCCTCCTCCTCCTCCTTCTCCTTCTTCTTCTAATCGAAATTTAATTACACAAATGAATTGGCGCTACAAGAATGATCCCTTGTTGCGTTTTTAATAGCTCCAACTTTACCCCGGGGTACTGAGGTACAGAAAGAGTTAAGGATTGTATGTTAAGGATTCAGGACACCTGCGAAATTTTTCTTCCATCTTTCATTCTCCATTGTATAATCTTTCCAATTTTCTGGAGACGGCCAAAATGGCCTGCGAGATTTTCTTTATGCTTCATTGAGCCGCGTTAAAGCAACTCTTGAGTAAATCCAGAAAAGCGCGTTCAATGAGAAGTGAAGTGTCTGATGTGTAAAGGTAAAGGTTCCCCTCACACATATGTGCTAGTTGTTCCTGATTCTAGGGGGCGGTGCTCCTCTCCATTTCAAAGCCGAAGAGCCAGCGCTGTCCAAAGACGTCTCCGTGGTCATGTGGCCGGCATGACTCAACGCCAAAGGAGCACGGAACGCTGATCCCTTCCCACCAAAGGGGGTCCCTATTTTTCTACTTGCATTTTTTACGCGTTTTCAAACTGCTAGGTTGGCCGAAGCTGAGACAAGTCACGGGAGCTCACCCCGTTACGCAGCACCAGGGATTCGAACCGCTGAACTGCCGACCTTTCGATCGACAAGCTCAGCGTCTTAGCCACTGAGCCACCTTGAGTCCCTTCATCACTGCTCACCCGATCTTACTTTGGAGGGTTGGGCACTCATTTCGGGGCACCACCAGACTTAAAAATGGAGTTAAAACAGAGCGCCAGAAATAGCGCTGGGAATTCAGTTTCTTTGAAAAGAGATGCGGGGAAACGGATGCCGTCAGCCAGGTGAAAAAACAATGAGGTTTTTCGTAGAATCAGTCTGGTCTAGTGGTTAAGAGGCACCAGACTAGAAGGCGGAGGAAACTCTTTAAATTCTAATCCCGCCTTGGGAATCAAAAGCCAGCTGGATTTGTGACTTTGGACCAGTTTCTCCCGTTCAGTCCAGCCCACCTCACAGGATTGTTGTCGTATGGAAAATAGGAGGCAGGTATGCGTTAGGTATGTTCTTCACCTTGAGTTATAGGTGGAATGTAAATAAAATTAAAATCTGTTCAGTGCTGTTCTCTCTTATTCCACAGGATGGAATAAACTCCTGGATTAAACAGAGAAAAGGAGATACTGGTTAAATCCTAGGTTGCTAGAGCCCACAGTGGACTCAGACAGAAACATGGATGGTATATAAATTTAACTAATCAAGGAGAGAAGCAGCTTAGAACTAAGGAGAAATTTCCTGACAGTGAGAACATTTAACCAGTGGAACAACTTGCCACCAGAAGTAGTGAATGCTCCAACACTGGGAGTTTTTAAGAAGAGATTGGACAGCCATTTGTCTGAAGTGGTGTAGGGTTTCCTGCCTCAGCAGGGGGTTGGACTAGAAGACCTCCAAGGTCCCTTCCAACTCTGTTATTCTATCTTCTATTCTGTTTAATAATAAACTAAATAAATAAGGCCAGCTTGACATTGAAAGCTATTCCCTGAATGGTTATTAACATCCTGGACATAAATTGTTTCAACTCCTACCCTCAAAACAACACTATAGGGCACTGCGCACCAGAACAACTAGACACAAAGACAGTTTTTTCCCGAACGCCATCACTCTGCTAAACAACTAATTCCCGCATCACTGTCAAATAATTTACTAAGACTGTATTACTATTCTTCTTCTCTTCCTTGCTAGTATCTATCTCTTCCCACTTATGACTATATCCATGTTGCTTGTATCTTTCAATTATATTGTTTTTACTTGTTTCCTAGTACGATTTGATAGCTTATTAGTAACCTATGACTAGCACCAAGTGCTGTATCTTTTCATTCTCGTAGAATGTATTTTATTCTCCTTATGGACACTGAGAGCGTATGCACCAAAGACAAATTCCTTGGGTGTCCAATCACACTTGGCCAATAAAAGAATTCTATTCTATTGAGGATGGAGGGGATGGCCGAAGGCTGAGATTCACCCCCCTGTAAGATACTTCGGCTTGAATTGCTGATTGTGGGCGTTCCTTTTTCTAAAAAAAAACCTTTATTAACACTTAAAATCCAAAAATACAAGTTAAAATACCTCTATAACAAAAATACATCCGTAATAATACTTAAACAATTCAACATATTTCTCACAGTACTTAATTCTTAACTTTCTTCATCTATTCCCACATATTCCTACTTAATCGACATATTTAATCACATTTTATATCTCATTTTGTTCTATACATTCCTTATCTTTAATTTCTATCCATTGATACCAATTATCCCAAGTTAAGCAATATTCCGAGTCTTCCTTATTATTTAATAAATAAAGGGCGTTCCTTTATTCCTTCCCTTTGCTTTCCTCCTAGGAGTACATGGACCCCATGAACGAGTACAACGCCTTGAACGAAGCCAAGCAGATGATCGCCGTGGCGGATGAGAATCAAAACCACCACCTGGAGCTGGAGGAGATCTTAAAATACAGCGAGTATTTCACCGGCAGCAAGCTGATGGATTACGCACGGAACGTCCACGAGGAATTCTGAAGGCGCGCTGGAGCCCTTTGTCCGCCCCGTCGCGCCGCCTCGTTTTCCCCAAACACGACACGCGTTTCCTTTTTTGCCGCTGGGTCTGTGTTCTGTGCATATACAGTTGTGGTGGTTTTTTCTGGACTTTTTCCTTTCAAAAGCCCGTCCGCGTACATTAAAAGCCAAATGTGTTTTTTTTTCACTCTGAACTCGCCAGGGATAAAATCTGGACACGTTCTTGATTTGCGGTGCCGGTTGAACAGAATTGAAGATCCCACGATCTGATTTTTTTTTTTTTTTAATCGGGGGGGAAAAACCACCGACGGGAGGGAGAAAAGGGGAATATGTTCATTTTACATCAAGTTAAAATCATGGTGCGGTTGTGTAGCTCTTGTGATCGCTTGAAAAAGAATGTTTAGGGAAAACATCGATTCACTGGAAACTGCTCAAACTGTGGTGGCTATTTTGGGTGCGACCCGAGGGTACCACCGAGGAAGGTTACCGGTAGTCTCCAATTTGGAACCGTAAAAATTGTTGTTAGGCAGCAAGGGTCATAAAGGGAGGTATCCCATAGCCTTTATTGGGCATGGCCATTAAGCGAGTCAAACAGCCATTAAACGAATCCGGTTTCGCCCATTGATGTCCTGGAAAGGATGCCAATGATGAGCACATGGCAGAAGGGGTCTGGGACTCGTAAAGACAAGCCAGTTGCCAAGCATCCAGAATATGAACGTGGGAAAAGTATGATGGGCGTAACTTGGAGGAGGGAGGATAAGTTAGAGCCATAGTTAAATAATTCATAATTATTTAATAATTAATAGAACAATCAAAAGCAAATCTCCGGCAAAACCTGCCATCTCCTGGCGATCTTGGGGAGTGCAGCCTCCAAGGGATAACTCAGGCCATCTTCACGCCGGGGGGTAAAACTGGCAGCCCGGATGCGTCACGCGCAGGCCAGGCCCACTCCGGCTTCGCAAATGCAAAAAAAGTCGCAATACTTAGCGATATGTCATATAACGCGATCGAGTTTGACACCCGTGCTCTATATAGCATAGGATATGAAAAGAGTGCCCTCCAGTGGTCGTTTGGGATATTTCAGCATGGCAGCGGCTAAAAAGGCCATCTATAACACAGGGAATGAAAAGAGTGCCCTCCGTTGGCCATTCGGGATCTTTCAGCAGGTACTACAAAGACCATCTCTAGCACAGTGCATGACAAAAGTACCCTCCAGTGGCCATCTGGGATATTTCAGCCAGGCAGGGACTGCAAAGACCATCCAGTAGCACAAGGCAACGACAAAAGTGCCCAGGGAGTAGGAAGTCCATCTTTAGCACAGCATATGAAAACAGTGCCCTCCGGTGGCCATTTGGGATATTTCAACCTGGCAGGGACTACAAAGACCATCTCGTAACACTTTGTGGCAGCCCCTGAAATACTGGAAGACTGCTATCATGTCGTTTGTTTCATTAAACTGGACATACCCAATTCCCGCCCCCTACTCCCCTTTCTTGCTCTTCTCTGCGCCCTTTCCAGAATCTCGACATTTTTTTTTTATATATTGTGACCAGAACTGGATGTAGTATTCCAGGTGTGGGCTTACTAAGGCTTTGTAAAGTGCTACTAAAGCTTCACGGGATCTCGATTCTATCCCTCTGTTAATGCAGCCTAGGATTGCATGGGCTTTTTTTTTAGCTGCTGCCAAAAAAAAGTATTGCGTTACTATTGTGTCTCTGCCCCTCTCCCTTTTCCTCAGTTTTCTTTCTGTTTGCAAAGATTACCGTGATTGTCGAGAGGATGTTTAGTTTGGAAAAGATCCTGGGCTGAATTGCCAAGCATTGCCAGTTTAACAATAGCCGTGGTACTTAAGACTTATATACCGCTTCGTAGTGCTTTTACATCCCTCTCTAAGCGGTTTACAGAGTCAGCCTCTTGGCCCCCAACAATCTGGGTCCTCGTTTTACCGACCTCGGAAGGAGGGAAGGCTGAGTCAACCTTGAGCCAGTCGGGTCAGGATCGAACTGCTGGCAGTGGGCAGAGTTAGCCTGCAATACTGCATTCTAACCACTGGGAGGGAAGGAAGGAAGGAAGATAGCAATAGTACTTAAGACTTATATAGCACTTCACAGGGCTTTTACAGCCCTCTCTAAGCGGTTTATAGAGTCAGTCTCTTGGCCCCCAACAATCTGGGTCCTCGTTTTACTGACCTCGGAAGGATGGAAGGCTGAGTCAATCTTGAGCCAGTCGGGTCAGGATCGAACTGCTGGCAGTGGGCAGAGTTAGTCTGCAATACTGCATTCTAACCACTGGGAGGGAAGGAAGGAAGGAAGATAGCAATAGTACTTAAGACTTATATACCGCGGTTTACAGAGTCAGCCCTATTGCCCGCCAACAATCTAGGTCCTCGTTTTAATGACCTCGGAAAGATGGAAGGCTGAGTACCGACCTTGAGCCGGTGAGAATCGAACTGCCGGCACCTGGCAGTCAGCAGAAGGAGCCTGCACTATTAGTAGCTCTCCGTTAGTGCTTTACAAGCTCCGCATTAGGGGAGGTGCCGAACTGACGCAAACTTCTATGGTAAAACACCAGATCTTCAAAGAGCTCTCAGATCGCTGAAATTTCCCACAGGCTCACGAAAGTCAGAGTAGATCCTGCCTTACACAGGATTGTGGGGTTTTTTTTTCTCTCCCCCTTCGAGCGCAGCGGCGTCTGTGAGTCCGTGGCACGACGGGACATGAAGCGGAGTTTGGGCTTGATTTCACTGGCTGTGTCTCTCTGGTCCTCGCCGGGTTGGGGGCTGAGGTGTAAAGACAACGAATATCCCCTCTCCGAAACGAAATGCTGCAAATTATGTCCTCCAGGTTAGTGACGCTGAAGGTGTGGGGGAGCATTTGAATGCAGATCTTGTTTTAATCCTCCGTTTCTACATTTATGGCTTCTCGGTCACTTTAGGAGCTACCTAGGGTTTATTTATTTATTTATTTATTTTCATCCTTTGCACTCTGGGGCTGCTCCATCCAAAATCGTTTTCAATGGTTTGCAAAGGGAAGAAAAATTCAGATTTTTCTGGAGGGGGGAAAAAAATCAAGATTTTTCTAACTGGGATGTGAGGGGATGGGACCTTGTCTTATCTGGCTGGGAAGTGACTCCATGATCCTCTATCGGGTTCTCTGTTTTTCTGGAGGTGTCCTTGATTTCCTATCGCTTTTTTTAAAAAAAATTAATTTTAAAATAATTAATTTTAAGTGCTGACTCTGCCGTTATTTTGCTTTTGCCCCCTGACACTCTCCTGGATGTTTCTCAGCCCTCCCAGTCTAGCTTACTGTGTTAGAAACTCCTGGTGGCCTCCCATCCGAAGAGACTCTAGATTGCAGTGTGGGGAATGGTCCCAATTAATTAGATGCGGTCTCTTTCTTTAATAATCGGGCGGGTGTGGTTTGAAGTTGATCGTTGATCACTTCTGAAAGTTTCAGTGAAGGGGTACGTATCTCATTGGGGGGGGGCAGAAACTCCAGGCAGGTCAAACCCCCTTGTGAGACCCCATAAAATCAAGGAGAGGCTAAATTTCTCCATTTTTTTCCCCCGGTGAACCTTCACTGTTCTGTCCTCATGAATATGTGAAGTCTCATTTTGAGTTTGACACTTATGTGTGTGTGCGTGGGTGGGTGGGTGAGAGAGAGAGAGAGAGACCACTGGGCTGTGGATTACAATTCCCATCCTCCTTGACCATGATAGCTGACAGGTCTTCGGCAGATGGCATGGCCAAATATCTTGTTTCTCCGAAAATAAGACAGCCCCTGATAATAAGCCCAATCGGGCTTTTGAGTGCATGCGTTAAAATAAGCCCTCCCCGAAAATACTTAAACACACAGCTGGAAATCGGGTAACACGGCAAGAGGAGCCCCGTCTTGCTCCACGCGCCCCAATATAATAAGACCTCCCTGAAAATAAGGCCAAGCGCTTATTTCAGGGTTCAAAAAAATATAAGACAGGGTCTTATTTTCGGGGAAACACGGTACTTTCCCTGTTAGTCGAAATGTCCAGCTTAGCTGAAGAGAGCCCCGAGTTCTAATCTCTCCTCAAAGGAAGGTTGATGGCCACTCCTCAACCTACCTCGCAGGGTTGTTTGGAGGGTGACACGGAGAAGGAAACTGGGCTTCCTGGAGGATGGATGGCCTGTCATTTGGGGGGCGGGGACTGTCGCAGAAATGAGGCTCGGTTTCCATCCGCGAACATCTTCTTGCATTCTTTAGGAAAAGAGCTGGCGAAACGTTGCACGGGCTCATCCCCGACCGTGTGCGAACCGTGCGATGAGAATTACTACAACGACAAACATACCCACTCGACGTGTAATCGTTGCACAGATTGTAACGCCGGTAAGCCTGGTGGGCAAAAGTAAGATCACTGCAACCTCCTTTCCTGGCTTCCTTCGCAGGAAAAAGTGTTGTTTTGTGGTTTCACAACAGCGACTTGTCTGGTTGGTTTTGAATGGTTTTTTCCGGTGTTATAAATCTAAAATATATCAATAGATATATGAAGAGATCGGTCGTGAAATGTTGGTTGCTGAGGGTATCAAAACCACACTCAATTTTTCCCCGTCGGTTTCCACAAAGACCTGCTAGAAATGGCACGTGCCACAAATTTCGCTTTTTGCAGCCCGGAATCGATCTTTTATTTCTCGTAGAGCGAGGACTCCAGGAGAAAACACCGTGCCGGACGACTTCGAATACCGTCTGCGCCTGCCTTCCCGGCCACGCTCCTGAAGAAAGCCCAGAGGAGAAAAGTAAGGGCCAAAGATGGATTTCAGGGAATTGAGAGATGGGTCCACGATCCAAAATCAAACCTACTGAGATACATCGAATGTTCTGCGGGGTGTTCTTTTTTGGAAAAAGAGAGGGTTTTTTTTTCTCAAATTCGTCCCAAAACCCTGTTTCCCTGAAAATATGACCTACCCTGAAAGTAAGTCCTAGCTTGATTTTTACACGTGCGCCCAATATAAGCCTACCCACAAAATAAGCCCTAATTAAGATCCCATCCACTCCAGAGTGCACGGGTAAAAATTAAGCTGGGATGGGGATGGGTGGAGCTGCCCTACTACTTACCTTTGGACAGTTGTAGCCAGGCCTTGCATACCCCAACACCTGCCTCGCCAGCTCCGGATCGATCCGGAGCATTGTTATCAGCTACAGAGGCCTTCAGGAAACCCTTGCCGGCCACAGAAGTTCCTGAAGGCCTCTGACAATGAAAAGGAGGCCGGAGGTGACGCATGCAAGTGAGGTTACTCAGTGGATGACATTCCCCCGAAAATAAGACCTGGTGCCTTTTTTGGTGGCAAAAAATAAAATAAAACAGGGTCTTATTTTCGGAGAAACACAGTAGACGGCTTATTGATTGGTTATTTTCTTCCCTTGGTATGGGGATCGTTTATTTACCCTAGAAAGTGTGCAGAGAAGAGCAACAGAGGCTCGGGGAGGGCGAAAACGGCCTACTGGAAGTTCGGGAAGACTGGAAAGTTTCCGGCCTCCAGAGGGCCTCCAGAGCCTGGGGAGGCCGTTTTTGCCCTCCCGGAGGCTCAAGGAAAGCCTGCGGAGCCCCCCACCATGTTGCAGGAGGATGGCTAGGCCACGCCCACCATGGCCACACCCACCTAGCAACCAGGCAGAGAACCCCTTGCTAAAATTTTTGAAGCCCACCCCTGGGGTTGGCCTAGAAGACCCCCTTCCAGCCCTCGGAGTCTCTGTTCAATTAGATGGATATCCTGGCCCAATTAGAAGGGATTCTTGGTGGTGTGTAAGAAGGCTGGGATATACATCAAACACACGTACACACACACACACACACACACCAACAAAACTTGTCTGTGTCATTTTGCAGGATGCAAACCCTGTCCCAGCGGGTATTTTTCCCTCGGAGGGAACGAGAAATGTCGTCCTTGGACCAAGTATGTATTTTCTTAAATGTACCTTGCATGAAACGGGGAATTGAATGGAAAAGGTGTGGGGGTCAGCCCAGATCCCCAGGGCTAAGTGAGCCACTGCCTCATAAAAAATCACCCCTTAAATGAAGATTTAAAGCTGACTAGCCCCTTTAAGACTGAGGATAAGTCAGCAGGGTTATTGCCCTTTAAGAAGCTGTTTATATAAAGGAGGCCATTAGAGGGCGTCTCTCTCTCTCTCCTCGTGAATTTGCATTGTAGTTCTCTGTGTAGAGGTGAAGAAGACTGATTGCTTGCCTGGCCTTGCTTGGCACGTGTATGTATAAATACTGCATATAACTTGTATATAAACCACCGTTTGTAAAGACAAAACCTCTGTGTCCTGCATTTTGCTCCTCAAAATAGTAGTCACATCTGTAAGCACTCTGACAACCGCAATTGGAGTTGGTTGTTTTGATGCATCCTTGGCTTGGTGGGGCTTGTTCAGAAATGCATCTTGGCTTGGTTTAAATGGAAGTTTGAATGGTGAGGAGGAAATGCTGTTGGGTGCAGTTGCTCCTTATGGGTTTAGAGATATTTTGCTTGTTGCCCGACTGCAAAAAGAGGCTGAAATAAGGTGAACACAAGATGGATTCAAACGTTCCCCTATATTCCTTTTTGCTTGACAAAAAAAAAAAAGGAGGAGGGGTGGATTGGAATGCAAGAGGGTGAGGAGAATGGCATCCAAGCATCATCGGTTCCCGTGAGACGTTGCTCCCCCTTCAAGGACACCCTGAGCAGGTGCCACAGCGTGGCCGGCTGGTTCCCAAAACAAACTGAACGGAAGTGATTGGTGGACGTAATGGACTGTGGATGGCCCGTGGGAAAAGGGGAAATGAACTCTCCGTGCTTTTGCGTGAGATGCTCAGAGCTGGTTTTGCTTCTTCGGTGCCGAGGTGGATTTATTCAGTAAAGTTTTATACTCTTGGAAAATAATGTCCCCGGGAGTTTCTTTTTCTGGATTTTGCCAACTGGACAGCTGACATTTGAAATGAGAGGGTGAACGAAACCTCAAGCTCTAGGAAAGCGAGAAGTGTAAAGGAAGAGATTTCAACCGTTTGATTTTTTAAAATCTTGGCGACTGTAAGACCTGTGGACTTCAACTCCCAGAATATCAATGCTGGCTGGGGAATTCTGGGAGTTGAAGTCCACAGGTTTTGACATAGTTGAGACTGATTTAAAAATCGGTACAAGGCAGAGTGAGGAGCAATTTCTGCAAAGGGTCATTTTTATTTTTTTATTTTTTTGTTCAGTAACGGCGCCCCATCCTATTGTCTTGAAACCCGGCTGCAAATTATTGTTACGTTTCTATTTCATAGTTGCACAGCCAGCGGCAGGAAAATCCAACACCCTGGGAAGCAAGACACGGATGCGATTTGTGAAAAGCCGTCCAGCAAGATTCCCACCCAGCGCACTATCATGCATCCCACTCCCTTTCCAAAGGAGACCGGTGTCTTCACCATGAACCTGGATTTATCTCCGAGTGTTGTGCCTACAAATCCAGGTAAATTATCCAGCACGTGTGAAGGGGTAAGAAAGTTTTATCCTTAAATTTTAGAAAGTCTGCAGGGGGGAAACAGGAGAAGTGAGTCCTTTCTAGAATAACAGAGTTGGAAGGGGCCTTGGAGGTCATCTAGTCCAACCCCTTGCTCAAGCAGGAGACCCTATACCCATGATGGCGAACCTATGACACGCGTGCCATAAGTGGCATGCGGAGCCATATTGGTGGGCACGCGAGCGTTGCCCTAGCTCAGCTCCAGGACGCATGCTTGCGCTGGCCAGCTGATTTTCGGGCCTTCTGAGCCCACCAGAAGTCAGCAAACGGGCTGTTTCCGGCCTCCCCTGTCTCCTCCCCTCCTCTGGGGAGTGGGGAAGGCTGTTTTAGCCCTCCCCAGGCGCCTAGAAAGCCTCTGGAGCCTGGGGAGGGCGAAAAACAGGCCTACTGGGTCCACCGTGCCATCACATGCCTAAAGCAGGGGGAGCATGGAGGGGGTCACGCGCATGTGCAGGGGGGGCCGGGCACATAGAATTATCGGTGTAGGCACGCACGCACGCGACCACTCAGCACTCTCCCCCGCTTTTGTCACGCGATGGCAAAAAGGTTAGCCATCACTGCCGTATACTATTCCAGGCTAACAGTTGTCCAGTCTCTTCTTAAAAAGTTCCAGCACCCACAACTTCTGGTGGCAAGCCGTTCCACTGGCTAATTGTTCTCCCTGACCAGGAAATTTCTCTCCTTGATTAGCTTCCATCCATTGCTTCTTTCTAGCTTGCCTTTCTAGCTTGCCAAGAAATTGGGAAAAGCAACAGGAATAAAAGTTTCATCGGACTTTCCTCTTCTGGTTTTTTTTTTTTTTTTTTTAGGATTTGTATGGATTTTGATCACCATTGTCCTCCTGATGACCGGAGCTGGAATCTTGGTATTTCTGTTCTTTTATCGCAGGACGAAGAAAAAGAAATTCGACATTTTGTGCACTGAAATTTATGCTCTCCCCTGTAAGTGCGAGTTTGGGGCTGCTGCCAAAAAAATGATTTAAAATGTGATTTTGTGGGCTTTGAGGGGCTCCTTTCCCAGCGAATGGGGCTGAATATAAGCTGATGAATTACATCCTTTCTGATTTAAAAACGGATTTCCCCTTTTTATATTATTAATATGAGGAGGAGGGGGGTGTTTTACTGCAGTTGCAGAGGTAGGATTCAGCCGGTTCGGGCCAGTTCAGACTGGTTCAGTAGTTCTGACGATCAGCTGACCCCGCCCACCGGGCCCCGCCCTATCCTGTCCTATAGTTCCTTCTTTCTGGCTCAGCTGATTCGTGCGGCACAGCTGATTTCCGCGCCTCCGCTGTCCTATTTACCGGGGCTGCCTTAGAAGGTAAGCAGCTGAGCTTCAAATTGCTGTATTTTGAACGCTGTGCGCAAGCGCGCATTAAACCGGCTGCATCCCACCACTGTGTAGTTGGCTAATTGTTTTCAAGTGAAATTCGTTGCAATTCCTGCCATATGACGAGAGGTCCTCAATGTACGACTCCAATTGGGACCTGGCAGTTGTTAAGTGAGTCACACCCACCTTTAAGACCCTTTTTTTGCCATGGTTGTTAGGCAAATCACTGCAATTCTTAAGCGAGCCACGCGTAAAATCTGTCGTTAAGCAAATCCCGGTTTCCTCATTTGACTTTTGTTAGTCAGAACTAGCTAGAAAAGTCACCAATGGAGGACAAGTGATGCTCTAACCATTGTAAACCCATGCCAATTACTAAATGCCCACATTTTGATCACTAACTAATGTGATTGATTGATGTATATATCAAAAGGATGTAAATATTAATTCCCTTTTCCAATAACCACCCCCTTATAACTCCTCCTTACCTTTACTCCGCCTCCTTAGTATATAAGCCCCATCCCGCTCCTTCATCTTGTGTGCTCTCTCCTATCATGATACCTGTTAAGATGTTTAATAGAAACAATAAATATATTTATTAGAAAAGGAATGACTTCTATGAGTTATTGGGCTTGATCCTTGAATTTACATAACACGACGCAAGTGCGAGGACCGCCCCAGTCATTCGTCCATTCTTGGAATCAAAGTGCCCTTCCATTTTTGTGCATAATGTAGTCTTCCTGCCGTCAACGTACATCATCAAAACTCCAATTTTTTTTTTTCAAGTCTTTTTCCGTGAAACCCAAAAGAAAAAAGTTTCTGGTTTTATCTTTATATTCACTTTGAGAATTTTCTGTATCAAGATGCGACTCCTACTCCGATATTTCTTTGCTTTGTCAGACGATTAAAAAGTCCCTTCTTTGCATTTGCATTTCCAACGAACGTCAGCTGCAAAAGTTGACTGAGTTAGCAGAAAATGGCTAAACGGACCGCTTTGGTTAAAGGGGGGGGGGGGGAAATACAATTACTTTTGCTTCTGCTTGGAAACCGTTTCTGGACTTTGTGCTTGGGGTGGGAAAAGAAATGAAAACTTTTGATTTTAGGCTTTACGGATTAGATAGATTTGTTGTTATAGTAATGGCTGGTTTATACTATTATGTAAAAGTGAAAAAGTTGAGGTTTGATGTTATTATCTTATTCTGCTGCCCCCCAAGGGAGTCGGAAACAGCCTTTTCTTTCTTTCTTCCCCTCTTTTCTACACTCTTTCCTTCCCTTCTCCCTCCCCTATTTTTCCTACTCTTTTCTTTTGTTGTATTTTATATTATAAACTACCGTATTTTGCGGAGTATAAGACGCACGGAATACCCCCAATCAGCTGTTCCCAGAGGTGAATTTTAGCAACAGGTTCCTTGGTTGTGAGCTCTGTGCCTTGCTTTTTTTTTTGCTTTTTTTTCTGCCCTTGAAACATCTGTTTCAGCAAAAACTTCTTTTCCTGCCTCTGAAAGCCTCCGAAACAGAGCTTCAGAAAAAAAGCCTCTGAAGCTCTGTTTGGGGGCTTCTTTTCTGAAGCTCTGTTTGGAGGCTTTTTTTCTGAAGCTCTGGAGGCTTTTTTTCTGAAGCTCTGTTTGGAGGCTTTTTTTTCTGATGCTTCGTTTCTGATGCTTTTTTCAGCCTCTGAAATCTCTGTTTGAGAAGCTGAGCAGGGCTACATTCGGAGTATAAGACGCACCCAGATTTTCACCCTCTTTTTTTGGGGAAAAAGGTGCATTTTATACTCCAAAAATTACGATAATCAACAAAAAGCATAGGTACAAGGACTGGTCGTAAGTCACACTTTTCAGGGCTGTTGTAACTTCTGGCGGTTGCTAAACAAACGATTTCTAAGTCAAGAACTACCTGTAGCTTCGTTGCAAGCTAAGAAATGCGTCGTTAAAGATTATGCTTTAATTGCAATTTGCGTACCACCTTTTGAGCTGCCTTCTTTGAAATGTAATTTCCCCCCCCCCTCTTCTTTTAGGCAAAGAGAACGATTATCGATTGCCAATCCAAGAACAAGAAGTCGGCGTTAAATCCGATTTTGTACAGGGCTGACCTACCAAAAGAAACAAGAACAAAAAAACAAAAAAATCCCCCGAATTTGGACTTCTGAATCAGAAATAGAGTTTATCTGAGTTTATTTTTCAACCGATTCTTTTTTATTCTGAATGAATCAGCGTATCTTTTGCATATCTTTTTTCCGTATCTCCCTCCCTCCCCCTATTTCTCCTCCCTGATATTGTTTCGGGGTTTATTATTTTCTTCTTCTTCTTGTGGTTTCTTTTGAAGTATTTGCCCGAATTTGCATATATTATTTTTCACAGCCTTCTTTGTTCTAAAAAAAGGATGTGAAAAGGTGCTTGTGCATCATTTTATTCTTTTTTTTTTTATTCATCCAACGATAACAGGAAGAACTAAAGTAACCCCATCTTCATCCTTGATTTCTTAGGAAACTTGAGGTATTTATAACCAGAAACCTAAGAATTATAACAAGGAAGGAAGATGGGCTCAGCTGATATTAATATAATTGGTATAATTATTACAAGAATGTAATAACAGTTAATTATTAATATTTGCTGTTCAGCTTCTAATAATTCAGGCTGCAAAATAAGAGCAAGCAAGAGTTATTTTTCAATTTACGGTACGTTGCGGAATGCAACAGAATTAAAGTTAAAGCCAAACAAGCTTTGAAGATAAATTACTTTGAAAAGAGAAACTGGCAACAGATATCTACTTTTATAAAAGCAATATATGCAGTGTTGTATTTTTTTTTTTAAAGTTGAAAACCCTTCAACTTTTCTCTCTGTTTCTTGAAGAAACGTTAACTTTAGTCCCAAAGAGGGAGCCTGATAGGCATAACTATATCGATGTAAATCCTCAATTAGATCCACTGGATTCCCATGGCTATTCAGGGGATTTTTTTAAAAAATGCCAGGGGTTGTAACAATAAAAGATTGGGGTTTGATCTTGCAAAAGACCGTTTTACCTGTGGGTGAAATGGTAAAAGAGGGGTTTGGTTTTTTTTTTTTAAAAAAATCAAAATTAAAATGGGATCTGCCAGGCTCTTTGGTCAAAACTAAGAACAGAGAAAGTTTTCCAACATAGGACAAACCCACCCAGGAAATTTGTACAGTTCACAAATAAGGAGCATTCCTACAATTCATTGCCTCTCCCAATGGCTTTAAGTATGACTTTGAAAGGGATCTGATTTTGAAATGGCTGTTTTGAGTGGCCAATTTTGAGGTTCGGCCGATCCTTTTTTTAAAAATCCATCCCCATCTTGATGATATGAAATGTTGGGATCTCCTTCGATTATTCTCCTGGCCTTCCTCAACATTTTGGAGAGGAGGAGGAGGAGGAGGAGGGCTAAGACCAGGGGTGAAATCCAGCAGGTTCTGACAGGTTCTGGAGAACTGGTAGCGGAAATTTTGAGTAGTTCAGAGAACCGGCAAATACCACCTCTGGCTGGCCCCAGAGTGGGGTGGGAATGGAGATTTTGCAATATCCTTCCCCCAGGAGTGAGGAGGGAATGGGGATTTTGCAGTATCCTTCCCCCAGGAGTGGGGAGGGAATGGGGATTTTGCAGTATCCTTCCCCTGCCACACCACGCCGAAGCCACGCCCACAGAACCGGTAGTAAAAAAATTTGGATTTCACCACTGGCTGAGACCTGATGTAAAAATAGTATTTTCTTTTTGATTGCATACTGTTGATCTGTAAATGCCGTTCCCTTGTAAAATCCTACGAACGCTTTTCGGGTCTGTTGGTTTGTTTTTGGCTATGCTTTTAACAGAATAACAGAGCCGGAAGGGACCTTGGAGGTCTTCTAGTCCTACCCCCTTCTCAAGCAGGAGTCCCTGTGCCATTCCAGACAAGGGGCTGCCCAGTCACTTCTTAAAGCAGAGGTCTTCAAACTTGGCAGCTTTAAGACTTGTGGACTTCAATTCCCAGAATTCGGGGAGTTGAAGTCCACAAGTCTTAAAGCTGCCACATTTGAGGGCCCCTGTCTTAAAGCTTTGTAACTTTTTGTAAGGAAATAGCTAGGTAGAGATGATAGATGATGGGTCGATTGGTCGATAGATGGATCGAGAAATAGAGTTAAAGAGATAAGACAGATTAGGTAGACAGGCAGCCAGAGACGTAGGTAGATAGATAGATAGATAGATAGATAGATAGATAGATAGATAGATAGATAGATAGATAGATAGAGATGATAGATAATGATGATGATGATAGATAGATAGATAGATAGATAGATAGATAGATAGATAGATAGGATAGAGAGAGAGAGAGAGATGTGTGAGAGAGAAATGACAGAATAGATGATAGATAGATGACAGATAGATAGATAGATGATAGATAGATGTGTGTGAGAGAAATGACAGGATAGATAGATAGATAGATAGATAGATAGATAGATAGATAGATAGATAGATACGGTAAAGAGAGAGAGAGATATGAGAGAAATGACAGAATAGATGATAGATGTGTGTGAGAGAAATAATAGATGATAGATAGATAGATCAATAGATACAGTAAAGAGAGAGAGAGATGTGCGAGAGAGAAATGACAGAATAGATGATAGGTAGATGACAGATAGATAGATAGATGATAGATAGATGTGTGTGAGAGAAATGACAGAATAGATAGATAGATAGATAGATAGATAGATAGATAGATAGATAGATAGTAGACAGACAGACAGTAAAAAACTGAAAATTTGGCTTTTGGAATCAACAGGAAAGAATATACATGGGTGATTTTGATGCTATACTGTCTGAATTTTGACATTATGGAGGTCTTCATAAAGCACCTTTTTGCTTTTGAATAATTTTTTTTGGGCAAGTCAGACTTGTAGGGGCGGCCAAAGCACAGCGAAAAAACAGGATGAAAATGTCACCAAATGAACATTCTTCTGAGGTTTGGACTCGAAAGCAGGAGACTGTGAGTTCAAATCCCGCCTTACGCATGGCAGGGTAACTTTGGGCCAGACTTCTCACCCCCCCTCTCTCAGCCCAGCCTACCCCACAAGGCTGTTGTGGTGGGGAAAATAGGGAGAGGAAGGTGCGCTGGATATGTTCGTCGCCCTGAAATGATTTGTAAAAATAATAAATACAAGATGTAAACTAAGTAGAATTTTCTGTGTTTCCTTAAATAAAGGTTATTTGGCACTTTGGCTAAAGCAAATCTTCTTTTCACGGATCATCCGATTTCCATTTTGCTTCTAGAAACGCTCCAAGCAATCCTAGCGTTGGGAAATGACCTCAGAGGTCATCTAGTCCAACCCCTGTGATTGAAGAAATTGGCTTCCCCAAATTCTTGGGACAGATAATGGCCTCCGGCCATCCCTGCCTTTAGCAAACCTGCCTCTGGTTTGTTTAGCTTTAAGCTCTTACAGCCCCCGCTGGCTGGGGAATTCTGGGAGTTTTTAATTTGTGGGCCCAATTTTTGTATATTTGATTTTAATGGTTTTTAAATTTTGTAAATTTTATGTGTTTTAATTTGGCTGTACACCGCCCTGAGTCCTTCGGGAGAAGGGCGGTGTAGAAGTCTAATAAAAGTAAAGTAAAGTAAAGTTGAAATCCACACATCTTAAAGTTGCCAAGGTTGAGAAACGTTACTAGATAGAGAGTCTTCGTGTCAAGATGCCCAAGATGGGAATTTAGCCGTTTTTCAAACTCATCTGGTGGCTGGGAGTTCCATAAGGTAACTTGGGTTTAAAAAAAGACATGAAATTGTGGACTGGCCTAAATCTAACTTCAGAGGATGAGCAGAGTTGGATTCAAAGATAAACCAGAGGGAAAAATGCTTCCACATTCTCCCTGTCAATCTGTTTTCCTCTACTAAGATTTGAAGAGAAAGGAAGGAAAGGAAGGAAGGAAGGAAGGAAGGAAGGAAGGAAGGAGGGAGGGAGTAGAGACAGAGAAAAAGAAACAAAGGGAAAGAAGAGAGAAAGAAAACAAAAGAGGAGGAAGGGAGGGAGTAGAGACAGAAACAAAGAAGGAAGAGAAAGAAAATGAAAAAAGGAAGGAAGGAAGGAAGGAAGGAAGGAAGGAAGGAAGGAAGGAAGGAAGGAATCTACAGAAATGAAAAAGATGCTCGTTTCCTTTCCCAATCCTTGAGTTCTGACTTCTTCAACCTAAATTTCAAAAGGCCATTTCTCCCTTTAAAAGAAGGTAAGAATCATCCAACCCTTTCATTTCTGACAATTGCCACAAAGCTTCCTTGAAATCTGATGGCCCATTTTCCTATTTTATAACAATTTTCCCTTCTTCCTTTTTTTTTTTTTTAAATGTAATGTTCCCTTCGAGCATGCTATTCTGTACAAATCGGAAAAGAATATTTTGAAATGTCAAAACAATCAAAAGTGGAATATATATTGAAGAAGATAGGGGAGTTCTCTCTCTCTCCCCCTCCCTCCCTCTTTCTCCTTCTTTCTCTCTCTCTCCCTTTCTCTCTCTCCCCTTCCCTCTCTTTCTCTCTTTCTCTCTCTCCCTCTTTCTCTCTCCCTTTTCCTCTTTCTCTCCCTTTCTCTCTCTCCCCTCCCCTTCCCTTTCTTTCTCTCTCTCTCCCTCTTTCCCTTTTCCTCTTTCTCTCCCTTTCTCTCTCCCTTTCTCTCTCTCTCCCTTTCTCTCTGTCCACATTTCCCTTTCTCTCCCTTTCTTTTTCTCTCTCCCTTTCTCTTTCTCTCCCTCCTTCCCTCTTTCTCCCTTTCTGTCTCTTTCTTTCCCTCTTTCTCCCTCTTTCTTTCTTCTCTCTCGCCCTTTCTTTCTCATCTCCCTAATCTTTCTCTCTCTTTCTCCCCCTCCCTCTCTCTTACTCTCTCTCCCTCCCTCTCTCTCTCTGTTTCCAACAATTTTCACAGCCCCTTTCACTCCTCCCACACAAAATCATGAAGTAACAGACAATCTTCGCATCGTACCACCTGACTCCTTTTCAGAGGCCAAGCAAAAATAATCTCAGAAAAATCGGCATAAAATCTGCATATGAAAGAACCTTTGCAGATCCAGAAATAGCTGTGGCATCGGTGTTTTGCACGTATCCGTTTTCATAATTCATTGTCATGAGAGAGAGAGGGAGGGAGGGAGGGAGGGAGGGAGGGAGAGGGACTTCCCCATTCAAAGCTGCTGATGCTTGCAAACTCAATTATGCTGTTCTAATCCAGATTCGTTCGGGAAATCTTAGTTCCAAGTTTATCCTAGCTCAGCTCTTCACGTCTGAAAGAATCCAGGTTCTGCTTAGGATAAGACCAAGGAAATTCTAGGGGTTGGGAAGAATAGGTAATTCCTTGTCTTACAACGATGTTTGTCTTCAAAACTGTCTCGGAAATCTGCCGGGAGCTGTTGAAACTTAAGAATCTGCCTTGCAATGCCGGCTTTCGTTTTGCCAATGGAGGCAGTCCTCGGCTTGCGACCAAAAATCTGACTTATAATCTATAATATAGGCAGCTTTAACGTTTTTTCTAACCATGTATACCATTTTCTTTTAACCACCCACCAATTTAGATACGAGTTTCCCATCCTTCAGTTTCGGTTTAGCTGGGCAGCTTCTGATCTGACTAGGAGCTGGCGAGGGAAGTCGTAAAATGGGACAAAACTCAACACATTTCTCACTCCCCCCCACATTCATTTGTGGGGGGGGGGGGAAACAATAAAACTTGATTTAAGAAAAACCCACATTTCTCACTTAACAACATAGATTTTGGGCTCGGTTGTGGTCATAAGTGAAGGGCTACCTTTAATTGATTATACTAGATTATTATTTTTAACTTCTTCCATTCCTACCATGTTTCCCCAAAAATAAGACCAGGTCTTATATTAATTTTTGCTCCAAAATATGCATTAGGGCTTATTTTCTGGTTACGTCTTATTTTGGGGGAAATATGGTACTAAATGCACCCATCTGGTTGACAATCTTAACTGGGGCTTATTTTTGGGGTAGGGTTTATATTACGAGCATCCTGAAAAACCATGCTAGGGCTTATTTTCTGGGTTGGGTCTTATTTTGGAGGAAATACGGTAAAAAATGCACCCATCGGCTGACAATCTTAACTGGGGCTTATATTACAGCATCTGAAAAACCATGCTAGGGCTTATTTTCTGGTTGGGTCTTATTTTGGGGGAAATACGGTATAAAATGCACCCATCTAGCTGACAATCTTAACTGGGGCTTATATTACGAGCATCCTGAAAAATCATGCTAGGGCTTATTTTCTGGTTGGGTCTTATTTTGGGGGAAATACGGTATAAAATGCACCCATCCGGCTGACAATCTTAACTGGGGCTTATATTACGAGCATCCTGAAAAACCATGCTAGGGCTTATTTTCTGTTGGGTCTTATTTTGGGGAAAAACGGTATAAAATGCACCCATTGGCTGACAATCTTAACTGGGGCTTATATTACGAGCATCCTGAAAAATCATGCTAGGGCTTATTTTCTGGTTGGGTCTTATTTTCGGGAAAACAGGGTAACTCATTTTGCACCAGCAGTGACGAGGGTGGCCCATCCACGTGTAGTAGGTCCCACGCTACAAAACACGAAAACCCAACCTACGTCCAATTCTGCAGGGCGGGCTGGAGCCTTTTGAAAAGCTGGCCTGAAAACCTTTTTGGTGGAGGTGGAGCTGAGAATGAGGCAGAAAAACAGAAGCCACTTTGTCAGTAGCACGGAAAGAAAACAGCCAAGAATCAGAAGACAATGTTTGTCCTGTTGATGGGTCATCCCACATGCCGGCCTTCCGACCCACTTAATGAAGCACACGGTTGTGGCCATGGGATGGGCAAATGGCCTACTGAAATAAACTGGATTCTGGGCATTTTGACCCCAGTTTAGGATGCAGTATATTATTATTATTATTATTATTACGGGCTGTATATTATTCATCCATAATGGTCTCGGTGTGTGGCGTGATTTCCTCGCAACGCATCATCCTCATTTACCAAAAGACCTCAATCTGGTACCTTTGGAATGTCTCAAATCCAGAACCGGAGACTTGGAAGGGGCTCCAGAGAGATCATCTAGTCCAATCAAATCTTTGAAACCACCCTAACGTGATACTGTCATTCAAATGGAGGGAGGGGAGGGGAGCATAGGGACAAGCTGTATTTCATAACCTTTATCCTGGCACCTAAGCGCCCTGCAGTATTCTCACCTTTTTTGGAATGTAAAGGAGGAAGGGCCATGTGCGTTGTTTCAGTTTGCTGGAAGCGGAAAACGACCCTGGGAACGGCTCCTTATCTGTTTCTCAGGATGGCCATTACAATAACATTCACGCCTGTGGATTGGCTGAATCCGCATCGGACTGAAGGGAGGGGTTCTAAAGTCCTATTTCTAACTGTATAGTTTGGGAGGGAATTTAGAGTCTGCTTTGCCTTTGTCCTGCTATCACTTCTTCTCAATCAAAGGTTCCTTTTGAACTACTACATTTCAGAAGTCTAATACTTTCTTGGGAAAGGAGGAGAGGCAGGGCCTTACACCACCCATTATTTTGCACTACCTTGGGAGGATGGAAATTGTAGTCCAGCCCATTTGTGTGGTTATAAATCTTTGGGGGGGGGGGGCGGAATAATGCTAAAGGAGAAGAAAAGCAGAACCCAGAAAGCTCTCCGAGGCTCAAAAGATTAAAAAAAAAATAGCTATTGGCTTTTAGCAAATACAGTATTTCGCCCTGTGGGAAATATTTAAGAGACCCGGAGAGATAAAACACAGACGCCGAGCCCACCCACCCCTGTGCCAAGAAAGATGCTGGAACACATCAGAAAGAAGGGTGTTTCTCTGGTCTTCTTTTTCTTCCTTGGTTTTGTTCTTTATAAGAAAAAGAGCACGAGGACTTTGGAAATACACCAGCGTCCAGCGTTTTAAGAGCCCCGGTGGGAGATCTTTTTCTCCTCTGGGAGAGATTCCCGGCAACTGGGGCTGACAGCTACGGCCCTGGGCTTGCTCTCGGCCGCCGGCGGCCTCTTGACTACGACTGGGGAGGACTTGGGGAATTCCGGAAGAAGCAGGCCATTGGGTGGCAAGTTAGATTGAAGATGGAGGGAGAGCATCTGCGAGCTGGTCAAGGCATTCTCCGCGCCGCTGTTGTCGCTGGCCGGTGGCACCTTGGTCCCAAAAGTTTGCTGGAACCAGGTTGTGTAGGACTTATCTTTGGAGTTCCCGCGGGGCAGGTTGAGGGACTTGGCTTGATCCTCGGGGCCCTCGGCCTTGTCCGGGGTGGCCGGAACGGGTTTGATGATGTACTGGTTGCCACTGGTGCAGACATGATGTCCCCGAAGGATGGCTTTGACGGAAGGGCAGCAGGTCAGGCTGGGGACGATGGAGATTTGGATCTGAGGCATGGGGAGTGGGTCTCGCCGGACGCCTTTGCTGGGGGCCACAGCCAGACCTTCAGGAGCGCCAGAGGACTCTCCCTTGCTGTCTCCTCTGCTGTCCGCCTTCGGCACCTTCTCAGGGATTTTGGGGGGCGGCTGTTTGTCTGGCGGAAGGGTGGGCAGCCCGGGGTTGCTGCTGCTGCTGGCTTTCTCCAGACTTATCCGGGGGATCTTTAAGGAACAGAGAGATGTTTTGCTCTTGGCTGTCTGTGGGAGCCCGTTGTTAGATGCCGTCCCGTTGTAGAGGAGGACGAAATGGCAGAGGGATTCCAGAGGGAGGATGCTTTGGGTCTTCTGAGCCTTGGTGAAGATCTCGATGGTCAGATCTGAAAGCGGCAAGGAAGGAAATCAAGAGGGGGTGGTGTCAAGATTGGACCTTTGCTTCGCTTCTTTCAAATCTAATGCTTTTTGACTTGCCAAGGCACTTGGGGGGGGGGGGGTGGAAAGGAGGGAAAAGGAATGTGGAGAATGTATGCGGAGATCATGCTCGAGAAGAGATGGATCCTTCTCATAACAAAAGACTGTCTCATAATTGGGCAATTTAGAATAGACTAACAGAGTTGGAAGGGACCTTGGAGGTCTTCTAGTCCAACTCCCTGCTTAGACAGGAAACCCTCCACCACTTCAGACAAATGGTTATCCAACCTCTTCTTAAAAACTTCCAGTGTTGGAGCATTCGCAACTTCTGGAGGCAAGTTGTTCCACGGATTAATTGTTCTAACTCTCAGGAAATTTCTCCTTAGTTCTAAGTTGCTTCTCTCCTTGATTAGTTTCCACCCATTGCTTCTTGTCCTGCCCTCAGGTGCTTTGGAGAATAGCTTGACTCCCTCTTCTTTGGGGCAGCCCCTGAGATATTGGAAGACTGCTATCCTGTCTCCCCTAGTCCTTCTTTTCATTAAACTAGACATACCCAGTTCCTGCAACCGTTCTTCATATGTTTTAGCCTCCAGTCCCCTATAATCATCTTTGTGGCTCTTCTCTGCACTCTTTCCTGAGCCTCAACAACTTTTTTACATCGTGGCGACCAAAACTGGATGCCAGATTTGATCAACCAGGGATGGGGAGAAGGAGAAAGGATTGTTTAACAGGGCAAGCATTTGCGTGGGAAACCAGAGCTGGTTTCGATTCTTCAGTACCAACATGGTGGATCCAATAAAGTTTTACTTTTGGGAATTCAATTCTCCCGAGATCATTTCCTTGTTTGGGGCTTGCTAACTGAACATTTGACATGGGGCTCAGTCTTGCCAGGGATGGGGGGGGGGGAATCCATAAAAAACTCAACAGAGGTGGCCTAAAAGGAAGAAGATTGGAGCAAAGAGAGTCGGCAATGGTCTAAAGTGGCTTGCAAAGACTCTAATCTAGTGTTTGGCAACTTTAAGATACAGGGACTTCAACTCCCAGAATTCCCTCACCGCATTGAGACTTAACTTATTTGCTCAAAGATATGCTTAAATGTGTCTGCGTAACGTCAAGATAGAGAGACCAGCTGCAGATAGTCCTCGACGTACAACAACTCATTTAGGGACCGTTTGAAGTTACAACGGCAATGAAAGAAAGGATTTATGACCCTTTCTCACACTTATGACCGTTGCAGCATCCTTGGGGGTCATGTGATCAAAATGTGGACGCTCGGCAACTGGTTGCACGGTCCCAGGATCGCGCGGTCCCCCTTTTGCGATCCTCCGACAAGCAAGGTCAACGGGGAAGCCGGATTCCCTTAACAACCGCATTACTGACTTAACCATCACTGCGATTCACTTAACGGTGGCAAGAAGAGGTCGTGCAATGGGGCAAAACTCAGTTAACGACTGTCTCGCTTAGCAAAGGAAATTTTGGACTCAATTGTGATCCTTAAGTCGAGGACTTACCCGTATTAGGGTTTTTCACCGCAACTTACCCAGCGTCTCATTCACCACCGTGGGAATCACGGTCCTCAAGGCTGTGCAGTTGCTGTGCAGTGCAGGGTTGGCGTTCATTTCCAAGAGCCACACCTGTGAAGGTAACACACGTTATGTCTATGGAGATTCTCCGTCATCCAGGTCAAAGGTGCTCTTTTCAAGAGGCCTTTCTGGTATTTTCTATGAAGATGTTTCGCTTCTTATCCGAGAAGCTTCTTCAGCTCTGACTGGATGGTGGGGAAACTCTGACCATCCAGTCAGAGCTGAAGAAGCTTCTCGGAGAAGAAGGGAAACATCTTCAAACACCCCACCCCACCCCGAAAGTCCAGTTGCCTCTTGAAAAAAAGCACCTTTGGGTAACACCGGTTACATTGAAACTTCCAAAACATCCCTCCTAAATCCTTCTGAAGCCTGTAACTAAATATGTTTTCTTTGGCTTTGTTCTTTTGCCCCCCCCCTCCAAAATTATTTCTCAAGTCCAAATTAAATATTGCACATGCTCAGAGAAATAATTCTAAAAGGAAAAATAAGAAAAAAAACAGGTTGAGTTTAAAAAAAAAGCCACCAACATATTTTTAAACCAGAATCGTGTTTATATACTTTCCCCTTTCCTTGTCCAATTTGTTTCCATTTGGGAGCGGGGGTCTCTTATTTTTGGACAAGCCCCTTGCCCCAGTGGTGAAATTCAAAATTTTTTACTACCGGTTTTGTGGGCGTGGTGTGGCTTGGTGGGCGTGGCAGGGGAAGGATACTGCAAAATCTCCTTTCCCTCCCCACTCCAGAGGAAGGATACTGCAAAATCCCCATTCCCTCCCCAGTCCTGGGGGAAGGATATTGCAAAATCTCCATTCCCACCCCACTCCAGAGGAAGGATACTGCAAAATCCCCATTCCCTCCCCACTCCTGGGGGGAAGGATATTGCAAAATCTCCATTCCCATCCCACTCTGGGGCCAGCCAGAGGAGGTATTTGCCAGTTTGCCGAACTACTCAAAATTTCCGCTGCTGGTTCTCTGAACTGTTCAAAATTTCCGCTACCGGTTCTCCAGAACCTGCTGAATTTCAGCCCTGCCTTGCTCCACTACAGCCTCCAACATAGGGACTGTTCACACAATTGTCAATCCATGTTTGCATCACCCCTATTTCTGAGCCATATGCTCTGGCTGGCTTTGCAAGACACCCCAGAGCCACAAATTCATGTTTTATTCCAGTATTGAATAACAAAGTTGTACTGTAGCTAGGCTTGAATCTCAGAGGCTACTAGATCCTCTCCATTCTATCAAATTCAAATTTTCCCCGTTTCTTATATCAAATAAAGCAATTTGTATTTTTACAGCCGGTTTGAATCTCCCAGCTTTTAAATCTCCCCTGAAAATATTTTGTGTTTTTGCCACTGGGTGACGCTGGAATTCCACTCCGGTTTTCTGCAAAGTTTGTTCCTTTGACTAGCAAGAGGTTAAAGTGGGAGGGGAAAAAATAAAAGTGAGATGATGATCTTTGCAGGTGGTGTCTTCGGGAAACCTCATCCTTCGTCCCCCAAAATGTCCCCGTAGGACCAACTTAAGATGGTCACAGAATGGACATATTTTCCTGGATTTGCACTACACGCAAAAGCCACAACTAGGAGTGAGTGGGTGGATGCAATGCAAGCAGGCACCTTTACCCACAAAGTGTAATGAGTTTGCAACTCGGCTAAAATTAAACGGCGCTTTATCATCGGTAGGCAATTAATCCAGAATAACAAGGAGATCTACGATTGCTAATAGGGAGTAGGGGGAAAGAGGGACTGTAAAAGAGATGGATCGACTCTCTGGGGAGCTTGCAAAGCGATTAATTAACCACCTGGGAGATAAAATCTAGCTAATACAATTCAGTTTTATATATTTGAAGGGGTAGAGAAATTGTCAGGGAAGGGATGGGAGCGGGGGCTCTTCCCTTCCCCAGATCGCAGATGGATACCTTGAAATCTTCATCAATCAGGAAGTCGCAGCCAATGAGGTCAAAGAAGCCCAGTTTGCATTCCAGCTTGGATTTGACGGAGAGAAAACACTGTAACATGATTTCTTTCATTCTCTTCTGCAAAGCATAGGGGACAAATATTGGAGGGGGTGGTCTCCCAAAAAAATAGAGCCCCCCTTTTTGAAGAAAACATAATATCCAAGACCTCTTTAGCGGCAAATACATTGCTAAGGGTTGAAAAAACAACAGCTCCAAACTGCAAGATATCGAGATAGTGTTTTTCCAACTTTAGGATGGGTGGACTTCAACTCCCAGAATTCCCCAGCCAGCATGAAAATCCACACGTTTTACATTTTGCCAAGTTTGGAAAATATTTCTCTCAAACTGTCTGTTCCGTTGATTTCCCCACCCCATCCGCCCCTGGAAAACATTCATAGAGGGGAGGATGAAATACAGATTTCAATATCCTCTACAAATAAAACGGTAGAAATAACCCTGCTTCACTTTGTAATTTTAGAGGTACACCCCCTTTCTCAGGAAAAACCTGGGAGTGATTTTATGCTTCCCCCCCCACCCCCTTAAGCATGGGTGGGATTCAGCCGGTTCGGGACAATTGGATGCTAATTTTAATCTGGTTCACCGAACTGGTTGCTGCAAGGCCCTGCCCCACCTTTCTCAGGAGTCTCCACGCGGCCGGTTTTGGATGTGAGGTAAGTACAGGACCCATGCGGAGGCTCTGGGAGGACGAAAAATGGGCCTCCCAGAAGTCCTGGAAACGGGTGCATTTCCGGCCTCCGGAGGGCCTCCGGACCTTGGGGGAAGCCATTTTCGCCCTCCCCGAGGCTCGAGGAAAATCTCCGGAACCTGGGGAGGGCAAAAATGCCCCCACCACCACCATGGTGCGGGAGGCCGACTAGGCCGCGCCCACATGGCCACACCTACCGAGCAACCGGGCAGAGAAACAATTGCTAAAATTTTCAATCCCACCCCTGCCCCTCAATTATTATTTTTTTTGCCTCCACAGTCTAGTTTACAGATCTGGCCTTTTCTGGTGGTCTACTTTTCAAGTATGAGATTCTCAGATTCTTACAATCTGCTTATAATCTTTTTGGACTGTTGCCTTCTGGCAGAAGATACAGAACGATTCAAACTCGGACCGCACGTCTTCTGAATAGTTTTGATCCCAGAGCTATAATTGCACTCGACAATGAACTAAAGGGCCACCATCAGGGAGCTGTTGGACAGCATGACTTGGTCTGCTGTGTGGATGTTTGGGTGGTTTAGGGGTGGGGAATTTGTGGTGGGTGGGTGGGTGTTTGGGGATTGTTATGCGTGTTGGACCTGGTCTTTGGGTGTTACGTGAATTTCGTTGTATGGGTATACTGTGTGTACACGTACAATGACAATAAAGTAATTATTATTATTAGGCCAGACAAGTTCAGCCTGCGGCAATCCGCTGTTGACACTCTCAGGAAATAATCATGCCTAGATCTTCTATTTAGTCTGATTTCCTTCCTAATTCTACCTACCTAAACTAAGCTCTCATCCCATTAGGCATTCTAGGAAAGGACGGATGCACCTGCCTTTTTCCTCTTCCCTCCCCAGCTACCTTTCCTTGTGTGCTATGTCAAGGAGATGGCCTCTCTCGCTACTGACCTAGCAAGCAGCCCAAAGGGTGGAGGGGAGAAGTAAGGATGGATTTAATGAAATGAAAAACTTACGGTAAAGCTGTTTAAGACCCAGTCTCTAGGGAGTCCTTTGGCTTGTCTGTACTTCTCGTTGACGTAGTTGTTGAAGCGCTCCATCAGCCATACGGTCTCCTCCTTGACGTGGGTGTAGATAGGACTCTTCTTTTGCACGTACTGAGAGTTGAGTGAGGGAGAAATTTTTTTAAAAAAAAAAAAGCATTCCCAAGACTGGGCAGTATGAAAACGTGGCTCGGAGAGGTGAGCTTAGGTGGGCTGCGGAGATCAAGGCTCAGGGCTAAATAGACTCCGCGTTTTCCCCTTTTCTGCTATCCATTCCTTTGTATATACAGTATGGCCTGAGCATCGCTTCGCTTGCTGGCTTAAAGAAATTTATTTTCCCTTTCTCTTATTTTGCTTCCTTTCCTTGATTCCAGGCGGAGGAGCCACAACACAGCAAGAAAGAGGGTTCTATTTACTTTGGGTCTCTGCCTGGACATTTGATAAAATTACATGAATTTCAAATGCTGTTTTTTTTTTTTTTTTTTTTGAGGCTTCCTGGGGAGAGTTTGGCTAACAGTCAGGCTAGAAACCAAGGAATGATAAGCTGGGGGAAGGTGATTTTAAAATGTCAGCTCTTGCAAAAAAGAGAGAGAGATTGAGAGAGGTGGGAAGAGAGAGAGAGAGAGAGAGGTAGAGATGATATAGAGATAGATGGAAAGATAGATAGATGATAGATGATAGATAGATAGATAGATAGATAGATAGATAGATAGATAGATAGAT